GGGGGGGGGGGGTGTGAAGGATAGAGGCAGTTAGCTGTTGGAAGCTCGGCTCCCAGCTGCCTAAAGCAACCCGAGGAGCCGATGAGCCGCGGGGCGGAAGGCGGCGGACGCGGGTCCCGGAGCTGTGCGCGCCAGGTCGCCCGGCCGCCGGGGCTAGCGGCACACGCCCACTCGCTGCGGCAGCGCCAGCCGCGGACGTTCCAGTGGTCCCTTGGCGGTCCGGGGAGAGGGAACCGCTGCCCTGCCCGTGTACCCCCCAGCAAGGCATAACAGCCTTCCAACAACCGAAAAGCTCCACCTCTGCTCCCCCTAAACTGTCCTCCTAATTGGCAGCCCAGCGCATGGGATGATGCGGACGGCTGCGGGCCGGCCCTGCAGTGCCACGCCGCAGCAGCCCGGCCCGAGCGGAGAGGGAGTGGGGGCTGGCCCTGCCCTCGGGGCTCCGGGGCCACAAGGTGGGGCGCGCCGGGCCGGGTGCGCAGCGGACGAGGGCGCCTGGGCTCCGCGGCGGCCACCGCCCCTCCTGCGGCTGGAGCGCGTCCAGAGCAGAGGCGCAGGCTCGCTCGGCTCTGCGCTCGCTCGGGCGTCCCCCGCTCCGGCTCGGCTCCTCCTTCTCCCCTCCCGCCGCGGCTCCCGCAGCCGGCTCCAGGCGGCTGGCGGGCGCGCCTCCCCCCGGCCCTCCCTCCCCCTCCTCCCGCTCTCTGCCCGCTAACTTTCCCGAGCCCCGACCCGCGGTGCAGAGCTCGCCGGTAGCTTCGGGGCCGACTGCCGGCCGCGTGCGGAGAGCGCGGCTGTGCCCAGTATCCCGTCCCCGCGCCCCCGGCGCGCTCCGCAGAGAACAGGACGATGCCCGGGGCTGGGGACCGAGGGAAAGCCCCGGCGAGATGGCTGGGCACTGGGCTTTTGGGTAAGGCAGCCCCCGCTTGGTCTCTTCTCTCACCTCCCCCCACTCCCGGGGGAGGCACCTCGAGAAGGGAGGTGGGCTTTGGAGCGTGGTACGGGATGAGCACGGTGGCGTCCCGCCGGGCGCCAGGCTCAGAGGCTGTGCTCCCTGGTGACCGTGAGCGTCCCCCGACCCCATCAGCCCACCAGCCTCCTACTTAGTTTTTTGCTGTCTCTGGCGCCTTAGCTCCTGGCTTTTGGGTCTTCCGAGTTCAGAGGTCGAGGCGTGCTGGGGGAGGGGGGGTCTGTGCCCTGGTGGGTTGCACGTGTGATTGTTGGGATGGTGGTTTCCACTCCTGCCCAGGGCTGTGTGCTTGTTTCCCAGGCATCAGATATGCATGGGGGAGGGGGGCTCCCCATCCTCCTGGGCCCCCTTTTCTGCTTTGCTCTTCTGGCCTCTATCTCCTCCAGTGCCCTCTGCCTCCCCGAAGCTCCGTGTAAATGCTGGAAGGGGCTGGAGGGTCTTGGGGGATCATTTAAGGAAGGGCCTTGTCTCTCTTCATATGAAGAGATTCCATGGGAAGGACCTGTGTGACCTGCTCCTGGCTCTTCATTTTTGGGGTGAATTTGGAGACTGAGGAGACATGTCCAGAGGACACAGAGGGAACAGAGTATTATTAATATCTATTAATATGCACATGATAGTTTTGAGTGTCAAACTCCAAGAGATTAGGGAATGATATTTATTAGCCCAGAATGTAATCTCCTCGTAAATCACAGCCAGACTTCAATGTAAGCCGATTCCGTCTCTGGCAACGGGACCTCTTCCTGTTTATATTTGTCAGATTTGGCTTTTGGCAGCTCCTACCATTGGGTAAGGCACAGAGTGTAGGTATTTATGCCGAAAACAGAGAGATAGAAGCTTATAAGGGAAGTAGCTGCTGTTTCTGCAAATGTAAACTATATACAGATTTGTCAGGTGGTGCCTGGTAGTGAGGGGGGCAGAGTATTCTCTGCACTTGGGAGCTACTGGCATATTTGTATTCTTTGGCCAGAGGGAAGTTGCTGGGATTTTCTCCTGTCCCTTTGGCATAGATGTCCTGCTAGTTTCACAGGGACCCTAATAAACCATCTAAGCGAGGCCTGAGGTGCACTTCTTAGAGTGGGCACGGTGTCACACCATACTACTTCCCCCTTATCCCATCTCAGATCGATGCAGGTTCCCAACTGTGGCCATGACAGGGCTAAGGGGTCACTGAGGAACTCAGATTCCTATAGAAGTTAAACATCCCCACATTACCCCTCTGACTTCTCTTCCTCCTGCTGTCTGGCTGGGTGGGAGGCAGTCCCTGGTCTGTTAGAATATTCACAAAACCAGGCTTCTGCAGGCAACCAAAAGGGCCCTGAAAACTCTGTGTATGAGGGGGTGAGCGGGATTGTGAGCAGAGTCTTGGCACATTTCTTCGGGTAGAAGCCCCAAGGACTGTTCAGCTGCATTGACTAGGTAGGGGCAGGGGCCCATTGAAATAGGGTTGGATGAATTTCTGAGATATCTTTGGGAGCCCAGGAGAGAGCAGAGTGAATTGTATGTTGGAGATCTGTGGGTCCCCAAACTGGTCCCACCTGTTTTGCTCCCTGCAGAGGGAAGGGACTACAACCAGGGTCCCCCTCTTGGAACCTGCCCAGACAGCCACTGATTGAACCCCCACAGGTGCACTGGTCTGAGCTTGAGACACAGATTACATCCTTGCTCTCAGTCCACTGGGGGAGATGTGGAGGTGACAAGACAGTCAACTGGAGGTGTTCCCTGTGAGTATCAAAGCTGGCAGGGACTTTGGAAACCAGAGCACAGAGCTCTCTTAAGGACAAGGAAGCCGTGGTCCAGAGACCATGGTCCAGTGACTTGCCCAAGGGGACAGGGAGAATTGATGGTCAATTGGGACAGATTCTAGGCAAGTGGAAACAGGACTGACTTGCCAGGTCTCCTGGACTCTGTCACATCATGCTGCTTCCTAGTTAACCAAAGTCTGATGAGTGGGGGAAGTTAGTAGGGATTGTGCTTAGGGCTGAACAATGAATGATGCTCTGGGGCATAGGTATGGAGGGGTAAAGGCTTGAGGCCCAGAGCTGCTGTTTTCACAGCTGCAGAGATTGGGTATGGAGCAATAAACCCCAGGGGTCCTCTTTCCCTCTTCCCTTGTCAAACCCAGTCTCACAGACAAAGACTAGAGTGGTTTTTGATAATGCAGCAAGATATTCTTTTCTTAAACTGAGGCAGTTTCCAAGCCTGTATCATCGCAGTGAAGTTGATGTGGGTTCCAGCTCTTCTTAAGCATGTATCTGGTAATATATCTGTCCTGCCCACCCCTTCCTTGTTCCCTGATTTGCTTAATTGCTGTGATCTGTGTTTAATTATCACTTGTGAGGGTGCTGTGTTGCACAACCCTATTTCCCTTGGTGTGTATTTATTAAGAACTTGTTTAATGAGAATGCAATCAAGGAGAGGGCGCTTTGTTACACTCAGAGGAAGAAAAAGGGAAGGGTGAACGAGGAGTTCAGGGAGAAGAGAAGGGGCAGGGAAGTGGAGGGAGAGCCTGGTCTGAATCTGGTAACCATGGTTAGTTCTCTTTCCGAACCTGCTGGGGGTACAGACTTGTGGGGGCACCCAAGAGAGAAGGCGGGGGTTCTGGGGCCCTTATGACTGGCCACCTCTTGGAGGAATCCGCATGATAGGGAGACTCTGGCACAGCGGACCACCTGCCTCGCTGCTGACCCTCGGGAGGATTGTAAGGATCTCTACATAAGCCAGGGGGTGGGCCAGGCCCACACAACCCACTTTGTGGCCTGTAAGAGGAGGGACAGGCACACCGCTTGGTCTTGTTTGCACAGCTGGTTCCATTGAGCATCTATTGCTATCTCCGGGGCATGCCTCCGTCAGGCAAAGCTCCTGGGGGTGTGCAGGAAGCAGGCAGGTTGTGTAGGGAGAGGGAGCTGAAATCTTTGCTTGTCTCTGGGCCCAGAGGCTTTGCTAGGCCCAGCCTGCCTCCCACAGCCCCCAGGGCCTCCACCCCAGGAGGGGTCCCTGTCCTGCAGGCCTCGGCCCACTTTCTGCCTCCCAGCTGTAACTTTGAGCCTCTCTGACTCTCCAGGGGCTGCAGTAGATCAGCCTCACAATTAAAGTTAGCCGTGTTTCTGCTTGCCATGCCAGGTGAGGCTTTGGAGCTAAACTTAGGGGTGCCATCCTGTCCTTCTTTCCTCCCCCCATCCTGGGGTGGCTGTGACTGATCCCTGGAGATGGGAAAAAGTGGCGGAATGTTTCCTCCCTCGGCATTTGCCTTGGAATACATGGTGGCTGCCATAACACTCCTACTTGTTTAAATGCTTAATACTATAATTTGCTTGTGCTGGACACTTTTTCTTTTCTTTTTCTTTTTTTTTTTTTGAGTTGGAGTCTCACTCCTTCACCCAGGCTGGAGTGCAGTGGAACACACGCTCACGGCCACCCCAGTGTTGACCTTCTGGGCTCCAGTGATCCTTCTGCCTCAGCCTTCCAAGTAGCCGGAACTACAGACGCACTCTACCATGCCTGGCTATTTTTTTACTTTATTGCAGAGACGAGATCTCGCCAAGTTGCCAGGGCTGGTCTCGAACCCGCAGCTCAGACAATCCACTCGCCTCGGCCTCCCAAAGTGCTGGAATTACAGGCTGAGCCACCGAGCCCAGCCATACTTCTTCACTTTAACAGAGCTTGAGTTCCCGAGCCAATCCTCAGACAAAACTCTGGATGCAGATGGCCGGGAGCTGAGGGGTGACTTCAGAGAATGGCAAAGAAAATGGCTGTACTTAGTGTGGTTAGCGCCTTTTAGTGATGAAAGGTGAGGTTCTGGGGTTTAGGATTGAATTCCACAGGATCGTGACGAGAAAGACTTGTTCATCAATCCCAGAATACTAGAAAGGGGCCCCCACTTCCACACACACATGTACACCTTGACATTCTAAAGAGCTAAGTTTGGGATGAAGCAAAGAAAGTCTTTACTTAAGGGAAATAACCACTTGGAAATAATCCAAGATTGGTACAGGGTGAAAATATAAATCAATGTGTGAATGGCTTGGTGACATTCTTGGCTGGCTCTGGTCATTAAGGGAAGCCAAAGATGCCCTAGTTACCTGTGATGAGGGACAGCCTTGCCCCCTGTCTCCCTTTCAAATACCACCCTCCTTTATCCGAAGGGTGCCCACTCACTGAAGCCCTTCTTGTGTTTTAAAATCTCATGTTTTTACTTCACACCAAACTTGGGAGGAAGGAGAGACAGCCATCCTGCTGTGGCTTTCTCAAGGTCAGCAGGCAGAGTGGGGCCTGCCTGTGCCTGCTGACCAGCTTTCTCCAGGAGTGGTTATCCAGCCGAAGCAGCCCTCTTGGGGCTTCTGGTGGATCATTGCCTGCCCCTGGCTTCCCCTTCTCCCCCAGCACAGTCTTACAGGTGAGACTGGGTATGCAGGGCAGGAGCCTTTCTTGTGTAGGAGCCTTCCAGACATAGCTGGCAGGACTTCATGACACCTGGCTGGGAAGGCTGTGCACCGGAGAAGCCAGGTTTGCCCATTGTCTCTGGTGCCTTAGTTCAGGCACAGCTCTGGACTCTGTACCATTTCTGCTGCTTTTCCTTGTCCCCTCCAGGCTACTGAGGAAATGGCCACACTTCACTTCGGGAGTCCTGAGTGTATAAGAGTTAAGTCATCCACCACAGGCACACACAAATCAGGCAGAAATGTGTATTATGTCATGAGCCAGGCCTTAAAGAAATAGCGTTCTCTCTTCTGGACCCTTCTTTTGCTCTTTTGTTGCTTTTATCTATTTAAAGCAATCAAAAAGATTTCCCTTTTGACATGCATCTTTTGTGCTCTTGAATATCTCATTCTGGTTGGGATGGAAGCAGGAGAATTTGGCCACAGATTTGAATTCCTTCATCTTCTCCAGGACCCCGGTTACCAGACTGGGGTGCCAGTGAGCATTGGAGTGGAAGCTTCCATGCTCCCTGGAGCCCTGAGGGAGGCCAGCAGCTATCTGGAAGCTTTCTTGTCTGAGAGCTTCCTGGTTTGCTGCTCTGCACCCTGATCCTTAGTTTGAAGGGGCTGGAGGGTGGGAGGTAGAGTTGGCACCAGAAGGTTCTAGTGCTGGACCCAGGCTGGAGGAGCGATTCTGTGTCTGGTTCCTATCCCTAGATCTCTGGGGGTGGTGGGAACAGTAGAGGGCCACAGTAAAAGGAAAACCATGAGCTCTATGGAGCACTCAACCCTGACAGCCTCGTTCTTTTGGAAAGGCAGGATCACAGAGAGGTGAAAAAGTAGGCAGATGTCTGCAAGCTGTTTATTCCGCTCACGGGTGTGTGGCCTTGAGCAAGGTAACATCTTTGAGGCTGTTTCTTCATTTGTTGATTGGGAATAAAAACAATAACCATCTTACAGACTTGTTATGAGGGTTAAAGAAGACAGTGTATGTAAAATACCTGTCTGGTCTCATAGCAAGTGCTCAGTGCCAGATTCACCATTTAGTAGATGGTCCTGGACAAGTCAACTTAGACTCTCTGAACCCCAGTTTCATCATATGTAAACTGAGAAACATGGTACCTACCTTTGGGCATTCTAATAAAGACTGGAGTCAGTATGTATAAATTCTCCAGCACAGTGGTTCCCAAAGTGTGGTTCTTGCCCACAACATTCCCCGGGAACTTTTTAGAAATGTAAATTCTCAGGCTCCCTTGGACCTATTGAATCAGAAACTCCAGGGCCTAGGTGGAACCAGCTGCAACTGCCCTCTAGGTGACTGATACTCTCTCGAGTTTGATCCTTAGTTTGAAGGGGCTGGAGGGTGGGAGGCAGAGTTGGTACCAGAAGGTTCTAGTGCTGGACCTAGGCTGGGGGAGCGATCCTGTGTCTGGCTCCTATCCCTAGGTCTCTGGGGGTGGTGGGAACAGTGGAGGGCTGTGGTAAAAGGAAAACCACGAGCTCTATGGAGCACTCAACCCTGACAGCATTGTTCTTTTGGAAAGGCAGGATCACAGAGTAGCGAAAAAACAGGCAGATGCCAGAAAAACTCCCAGCATGTAGGAGCTGACCAAAAAATAAGGGTGAATTGAAATAATTTCTCTGTGCTAATAGGAGCCCTGGTGGGCAGTTCTGGCTCTCCTGGTGACCTTGGGCAAGTTACCTCACTTCTCTAAGCTCTCTGTAGTCTCAGGTATAATAGTATTGACTCATGGGATGGGTGTGAGGATGAAATGTGCCTGGACATAGTAAATGCTCAATAAATACCAGCTGTTACTACCACTGTTGATGGTGGTGGGACCGTGATTGGGTTACTGGACAATCGGATGTGATTTCTGAGCTGGGTGGGGTGGGGGGTTCTGAGGACTCCACTTTCCCACCAGAAGCTAAGGGGGAACGAAGCTGAAGGAGCAGGGTGCCTGCTCCCCTTGGAGTTCCTTCTCTGTCACTTAAGAAGCATTGCTCAGACGTACCATGCATCGTTATTATCTCCCGTGGGCAGAACAGGAGGAAATTGGCTTATGATGCAGCTTGGGAATTAAGTTAGACAACAGAGGGCTTTCCCGAGAGTGAGGATGAGAGGGAGGAGGTGCCCATTTCCTATCCAATTCCGGACCCTCCGCCTCCCCACTGACGACCTTGAGGCGAGTGGGGTTTCCTTGAGGAATGTGCAGGACGGGAAGCGGGGGAGGGGAGATCGGGGGTGGCGTTAGGACCAGGTCCCCTTACCAGCACTCAGAAGGTCCGGCGGCCTAGGGCAAGCGCCTCTCCCAAGCGGAGGGGGCGGTGCCAATGTATCCGGGAGGAGGTGCGAAAGCGTGGGAAACACGCTAGGGCGCGGGGGAACGGCCCGGGTGAGGGGCCGGGTATGGCGGGGAGGCCCCGCTACTTGGAGTCAGGCGGGCCGGCGCCCACCGCACCCCCGCCCCCGTGCATTCGGGTTTGCCCAGAACCTGCCTCCGGCGTGTCTTCGTCCTCTTACTCTGTCCCCCGTCGCCGCTCTACTCGCTCCGCCCCCGCCTCTGCCCGACGCCGAGCCGGGCCTCGTTTCCACCCCACCCCGCCCTATTCCATCCCGGCCGCCCGGTCTTCTTTCTGTTCTCAGGGTCCTGCTCGGTGGCCAGAGGGCGTTGGACTCGGATGGCCAAGCAAGGTCCAGCTCGAACGTGTCCCTCTGCGTCCCCTCCCCCCCCGCCCCCCTTCCTGGGCCCAGGATCGGTGACGAGATGCTGCTGGACAGTGGCCCAGGACTGCGGCTGCAGTTTTTCTCTTCTTGACCTTAGGGAACCCCGCTCT